GCCGGCGGCCCCGAGTGACCCTGGCGTTGACAGGCGGAGGCGGCATCAGCTGCGTGCTGCAGGACGGCGAGGTCTTCGAGAAGGCGGGTGTGAACGTGTCGGTCGTGTTCGGGCTCCTGTCCGAGGAGGCAGCGCGGCAGATGCGGAGCAGGGGGAAGGCTCTGAAGGCCAAAGACGGTAAGGTGCGCGGCGGGGAGCTGAGGGTATGCGTTCGCACGAGTACTCCCGTGCGGTTACTTAGACAGGCAGAGTCTGGCCTTTGAGCAGGACGTGTGGAAGGCCAAGCTGATCAATGCTCAAGGGAGGATTGTTTGTATCGTGGTGATTTCTAACCAGTAAGCCTGGCAGATGGACTTTGTATGCCTAAAAACCTAGGTATGGGAGAGTTTCTCCCTCTTGTTGCTTTAAGCAATGCACTGCAGGCACAGTTATTTCTCAGTAACGACGCTGCAGCTCGACAGTGAAACGGTGCAGGAGTTATGTGCTGCAGAGGTGAACAGAGAGAACTGAAAAGACCTGAAGGCTAAAGATGATTCAACCCACCTTTGTGTAGCAAAGGGTAACTCTGAGGACTGGGCGTGGTGGAAAGCCTTAGCAGTGCCTTAGGTTTTAGCATCTAATGGATGCTCTAACATATTGTTGTGTTTTAGGACGAATACCAAAAAAGCGTTTAGTTAAGCGCACAGAAGTGTGTGGATGAGAAGTAAATTGCACATTATTTAATAATTACAGTGACCCAACATGAGAAATTTTCTTGTAGTGGAACAGTAGCTTGGAACCTAAGGAAAAATAGTGAAGTTCCTTACTTGAGAAACGGAAGGTTTTTTTTCTGTGCATCTTTTTATCTAGGGAAACTGCCTTTTTGCGCCATGGGTGTGAGCTCTGTTATCCATCCAAAGAACCCTCATGTTCCAACCATGCACTTCAACTACAGATACTTTGAAATTGAAGAAGCAGATGGTAAGAATTCTAATCCAATGAAGTACATATGAAATCTATGACTCCATGTGAAAGAAGCGTGAACGCATGGCTAGGGTAAGAGGTTAAGAACCAACCCAGGTTTGTTCCCAGCTGTGCCAAGAGTCTGTTGTGTAGCACTGGATCTCTTAACCTCTGGGCCTTCATTTTTCTGTTTGTAAAATACGTGTGATGTGTGCATCTGGTACAGTAATGGTGTCTGCAGTTTACTTTTTGCAGTGTACAGCAGAGGTTTCAGACTTAAAAGTGGAGGAGGTTATGTAGAAGTATAAAACATACTGAAAGAAGCAAGTCTAGAATTTAGTAGAAGAAAGGTCTGTGAAGGACTGATAAGCATTCTGGTCAGGATGTATCTTTGTGTCAGAAGCTGGGAGGATGTAGCGTCAGAAACATCGCACTCTGTATGTGCATTATCCCTTTTTTCCTGAGTTTATGCAACTTGCTGCTGTCAGAAGCGTGACTGCAGGCTAGGTGGTCAAACACTGAGAGCCTGTCTGTACCTTGTGACAGTGTATGTACTATCAGAAGCTCAAAGAGAGTTTTCTTTCAGTTATTTTGCCAGAGTATTATGGATCACTTCTAGTGAATTACTTCCTTGGATTTAATAATGATGTTTCCTTTCTTTGCCATGTAGTAAAATGTTTTCTGGATTCCTGAATAGGAGTTGCCAGCCCATCCTGTGAAATTGATATCCTGTAGTCAGGGTCAGCAGTCCAAAATACTGAACAAATGGTTTTCACTGCTTTGAAATTTGTTTCATGTTTTCCTGAAGTCACTGGTCATCAAACTGCCTTGAACTCAAATTTTTCCTGATCGATATTTAGGAACATCACTGAATAATGATTTTGGTTTGTATTGTAAAAGTAGTTGTTAGCTCTTGGTGAACCACTAGCAAAATATTTGTTTGAAAGTTTAAAAGAAAAATGTTGGTGCTTGCCTCTCTCCTCTAGGAACTAAACAGTGGTGGTTTGGTGGTGGGACTGACCTCACTCCAACTTACCTGAATGAAGAGGATGCTGTTCATTTTCACAAGACTCTGAAAGAAGCCTGTGACAAGCATGATTTGAAGCTGTATCCCAAGTACAAGAAATGGTATGTGGGGAGAGATGCACTTGGGTTCCTTTTGTGGGAGCAGAAGGCGGCACTGGATATCTCCAGTTAATGCAGAAGCTTCATAATTTTGATGAAGCTGCACTTTTTTTCCAGTGGCACATTCACTGAGAGTTCAACAGCATATTCTCTAAAGATTCAAACTCTCTTGTTCTTGCATCCCATCACTTGCACCTCTCAGCGCTTCTAACTTCAGTGGAGGCTTGCTGCTCTGTGTCTGATAACCCTATCTGCTGCAAGCTGTGGTATCTAGGAAGGAGGCGTTACCCTTTTGTAAGCTACCAGGTCTGGTCTGAGGACAGGAGATAAAGTGGGTATTGTAGCTTGGGTGTGAATCACTTAGTAGAGAAGCCCATATTACACAACTGTAAGACTACAGTCTTGTTCTCTGAGGAATTTCTGCATGGTAGTTCAGAGTGTCTGCCTTAATGGTCAGGTTGTTTGCAGCATAAGTAGGCTAGTAATGCCAGCTGCAGGGAGTCAGAGAGAAGGACACCTGTGCTTAGTCTGAAGGCAGCTCCAGAGAGGACTAACTGTATCTCATGGACAAAGGCAGTTTTCTCAGTGCCAGCATGAGTGTTTGCTGTAAGCAGCAGCTGTGTAGGAGCATGTGGTTCTCACTGCTGGAGCAGTGTGAATCTCCTCTGAACTTCTACTAATTAGCACTGCTCCTCTTCCCACCTTTCTCAAACATAAAAGCTCTTTTTATGTTTACCACGCTGTCTTCCTGATCTAGCTTTGAGACTTTTGTCAAGCTTGTTCTCTTTTGCATTTCTGACTCACCCTTTTTTCCTAACTCCTCCTGCTGCTATAAAAAAAAAAAAAGCTGTGAATAAAAAAATAGCATAGGTTATTTGTTACATCTCCATGTCTCTCTCACTATGGCCATGCCATTTATATTGCTTGAGAACAGCAAGTGTGGATGGATACATGTATGGAAAACTAGTCCTAAAGGAAGGCAGGGTTTCCTTGCTGTTGATGGTTTCTGCTTCCCACTTCCATTTCTCTCCCGTGTGAAGACTTGAAGAGCATGGCTGCCTGAGCAAGCAACTATAAGCAAGACAGGGTATGGATACAATGAATTAGCTAATTTATAGTATTTGCACACCTACATACTCCCAGTAAATACAAAGGAGGTTAATTGCCTTCCTGTTGTGAGATAAGCTGCACTTACTCCTTCATAAACTTGAACATGAGCCATGAAAAGCCACTGCTAGAATGACTCCATCTTCTAAGTTTAACTATTAAAAAGCCTTTTGCCAAGGAAGTCTGTCTCACTTTTGATTTTTCCTTAAGTGATGGTGGCTTTCTTATCTGGTCTTGGGTTTATAGATTCTTTTAGTTTTGATGCAGAGAACCGATTCTTTTACTAGAGTGGCAAAAAAATAAATTATTTTCCGAGTTTACAGCTTTCAGATGAACTCAAAATACAAATAATTTGGGATCTATATGTAATTCTGGGAACAAAATCTAGAAAGAGCTCTTAGGGTGAAGTTTTGAAACAAGGCATCCCTGCTCCTCATAAGTAGAAGATATGGATTGGATCACTCCACATGGAAGCATCTGCCATGATGTTCAAGTGATAAGTGTTCAGTGACTGTGTGGTGATACGTAGCTTTGCAGAGACCATTTAATCAGAGCTTTTACTGTAAGTGAATGCTGGGGTGCTCTCCAGATGGTGCTGCGCTGTGCTGTACTGTCCTGCCTCTCAGCAGTCACTGAAACAGTGTGGCACCCAGCACTGCTGCAAATTTTCATCAATATTTCACTTGTGCCATCCTGTGCCATGTAACTGTTTGGAGTTCTGTTCATTTCTTTGAATGTTGTGGACCATATTAATAATTGTCTGCTACCTCTTCTAGGTGTGATGACTACTTCTATATCAAGCACCGTGGCGAGCGAAGAGGGATTGGAGGCATATTCTTTGACGATGTGGACTCTCCCTCCAAGGAGGAAGTATTCCAGTTTGTGAAGAGTTGTGCCAAAGCTGTTGTGCCTTGCTACATTCCCATTGTGAAAAGGCACTGCCATGACTCCTTCACACCAGAGGAAAAGCTGTGGCAGCAGCTTCGGAGAGGACGGTGAGTACTGAAGGAGCAAAAGAATACGTGGGAGATGGATTATGCTGGCGAGAAAAAAATAAGCTAGTTCTTCATGGTTGCAGGGTTTACATCCTGCTATGGTGTGGGCTAAATTTGCATAAGTGATCTAAAGCTTGCCAGAGAATTTAAACATTTTTGTGTGTTTTGAAATCCAGTGCTAGATTGCTAGGGAGGGTGTAAAGCACACCCTCGTCTGTATCCCCCACTCTCCCACATTGCATTGCTTGCATACAAAATGCCACAGTTGCTCTCCACCTCCTTCAAAAACCAAAAGAAGCTGCTGCTTTGTAACAGGCAAAGGGGTGTGTGGTGTCCTGTATCCTGCCCTCTCCTGCAGCCCCATGATGCAGGATATAGGACTGTCCTGTGACATGAGGAGCTTAAGGGTTGAGGGAGTTGTGCTTTCTATTGAGTAATGAACCTAAACCCCAGAAAATCATGGAATAACTGTACTCGAGTAATTTCAGCTTCTTACATAAATATCTGTTCTGTCCGATCTAACTGTTGAAATGAGGACACAGTGAACTCTTTGTAAAGGAATAAAGATACAGAGGGGTTTTGTTTTCCCAGCATGGTCCAAAGTCACTGTAACTTAAAAGGCTTTTGAGGATATTTATTAATGTGAGTAACTGTTAATGATGCAAAAACTTAAGTACATTGGTAGATACAGTTGTACTCCTTTATCTAGGTGCCGTGATTGTGTAAGTATATGGAGAAAGGAGAATATATGTGCTTTGTGCAGAACTGGCGAGTCTCTAGTTTCTACCTCTTCTGCAGAGAAACCTGTGAGAGTGGTATAGAGAAGGCATAAGCATTCAAGTTTAGATCGCTGGCCTGCAGCAATTATTCAAATAAGCACACATGCTTAATTTGGTGAGACTACTCCTGTGAGTGTTGGCTTTTTAGGATCCTGCTAAAGTTATAAGGGGGAATAGCTTCTTTAGGTTGCAGCCAGGACCACCTCATGAGGCTTGCTTATTTCATTTCCCTGGATCTCTTTGCAGGTTATTGGGCTAGGCTAAGCTCTCCATTTCCGCAAATAGATAAGCGCTCCCCCCTTCCTGTATCTCTGTTCAGTGCTAATATCCCAGTACTGGTTACTAAGATAACCTCTGCTGAATTTTCACTGCTCTCTTCCTATGCTGGGGACAGAAAACTGTCTGGTACTTGAAGTCCCAGACAGCACTCTCAAGCTGTCTGACCTGCTGCTTTTCAACTCTCCCCAAGAAACAGAAAAATATTTAAACCATGACAATTCTGCCACTCAACACAGCAGAAAGACAGGCTGGTTTTGTTTGGTGTCTGCTAGTTGAAGAAGGCACAAGCAACTTCTGATTAAAAAACTACTTTTTCTGTTGCCTCTCTTCACTCCCCATAGGTACGTGGAGTTCAACTTGGTTTATGACAGAGGTACAAAGTTTGGCCTCCTGACACCAGGATCAAGAATTGAGAGCATTCTTATGTCTCTGCCACTGACTGCAAGGTAAGGGCATAGCTCTGGAGTTGCAGGTAGGCACTGTTCTTATTAAAATACTTTACTGGATTAAATCAAAGCTCTGTCCTAGTGTCCAGTTTCTTTAACAGTGGCTAGTTCATGCTCGATACAAGAACTGGCCAAATACATGCAGATGATTCTGTGGTCTGCTACACTTGTGCAGGTGCCAGTAATGATAAAAATATCTAGAACGTAGCCTAGATATTTTCTGACAAAAAACAAAAGTGGTATTTTTTGTGCTTAGTACCTCTTGATACATTTCCTCTGCTTGCTCCATGGATTTTTGTTTAGTAGCCCTTTGAAACCATATGAGCTTATGGCAGTCCTGATGAGCTTGTGGTAAGGAAGCTCCACAGTTCAACTGTGTGTTGTGTGAAAACACACCTCTCTTTTCTACTTGCACCTGATGACTTCATTTGACTTTTCAGTGAGTAACCAGATTTTCTTGCTGTTAATTTTCTCCGTAACAGTTCTTTTACAGGCTTCTGTTTGTTTCCATTGTCTGTTTTCCAGGCTGACAAGTCTCTTTCTTTTTAGTCTTTGTACAGTAGCTGTTCCATACCTTTGATCACACTTGCCACTTTTCCTCTACGCTTAAGTTTTCTATACCCTTTCTGAACTGGGGATAAGGAACAGACAACATAAGGCTATGTATGTGTATCCAAGATGCAGGTGTACTGCTGACTCATTATTCCTTTCATGATCCTAATATACTGTTTGCTGGTTTTGACTGCTGCTAAGCATTGAGCTGGCTTTTTCATAGAAGTGCCAAGGTCTTTTCTGGGCAATAAAAATGCACTCAGTGTCTCAATGTGTATGTAACTTTTTTCTGTGTGCATCGTTCTAGATCAATTAACAGTGAACAGTTGCTTGGCTTGATATTAACTCTTTTTGGTTAAAACCTAAAAAGGCAGTTGAGCTTGTTTAATCTTGCAATATCAGCAAACTGTTATTTACCATTTATGTCCCTTTTTAGATTGCTTTTAGATACACTGAGTTGCATAGGCCCTATCATGAATTTATAAGATTCCATTTAGTGACTGCCCTCCACTAGGATAACTGACCTTTGCTGCTACCGTGAAGGCAGTCCTGGTCATACCATGTAGCTTCATCCCACTGCCAACACCAGATGTGTCCCTCACCTGGTGGTGTAGCATGATCCCACCTTTTGGTTTCATTGCTGGGGTGATCTGGGTTTTGCTTGTTTTCGTCAACATAAACAGCTCTCTTAATAGCATGAATGCGTCCTTCCTGGGAGAAGAAAATTGAAAAATATTGTACCCATCCCTTTGTGACTGCTGACACTTTTCTTCCTCTGTCATGACTCTTAATTGCCTTCTCAATAAAAAGTGGTCTCTCATCAACTTTGTTTTTAAAACTAAGATTCAGTAAGGACTTGTGCTGCTTCCAGTCCAGCTTCTGGAAAGATTTGCGCTGGGCGGCTGAAAATACTGCGTCAGGATCAAATGATAAAATTTGAAGCTGGCAATTCCCCTTAAGACTCGTGTCCTCACTCTCTTTTGGCTAGGTTCTTTTTTGGCTTATCTTCCTCACTACACTAGTATGTCACAAGGGACTGCTAAAAGATCTTTGCAAATAAACTTGCATGGACTGTGGTGTAGGGGTCACTGCTCTTTTTTTTTTTTCTCTGTTCATACAGCCTTTCCAGAAGTTGTGGAAAAAGATTGAGCTAACATTTCTCCTGTTTCTTCCAGTGTTACTTGTTTTTACTTAACGATTTGCTAGCCATATCTCTCTACCTCATGCAAGAGTATCAACTGTGTTATGTAGCTTTGCACCTGCAGAAAAGGCAACTCTAGTCCAAACAGCCTGATGTGGGAGAGGTGGCAGCCAGCTGGGCAGTCTGAGTGAGTCTTCCCTCTCCCTGCAGGTGGGAGTACATGCACACCCCTCCAGAGAGCTCGAAAGAGGCAGAAATCCTGGAGGTTCTGCGCAATCCCAAAGACTGGGTGCACTGACATGGATCGTGAACAAGATAAATTGCTTACACTGAGCCATTATGAAAGAACAGGAACGCGTGCAAAGCAGCTCATTCAAACTGCTGTTGCATGGCACTTTAGTATAGCTATTTATAATTTTACCTGGTGCCTTAATAATGCTGTAGACTTGTTGTAACTTGCAAATATGTGAACTCATTCTTTAAGATTGATCAGCCAATGTCATCACCCCCTTGTTGATGTTGCCTTGTGAGGTACTGGCAATACTCTCACAGGACTACTGTGCATGCTTAAGAACTTCCATAACTGATTTGTTTGACTGCAAAATGATAAACTACTGTGAAATGTTCTCCTAGTGGAATGAAAGCATTATCTGTGCCTAAATAGCACTGCTTACTCCTAGAAAATGTTGGGATGTTTTAGAAATATTTTTTTAAAGAATAAATGGGAATATTTGATATGATTTCAAACTTTCAAGTCTGCTTTCAGGAAGTTGTGCAAAAGGTGGTGTATTTTGAGGCTATCTATATTGACTTGAGAGGGGGAAAGTGGTTTAAAACATGCTGCAGTAACATGACTTGTTTGTTCAGACATGGGGAGATGCCGGTCTAGGATCCCAGTCATGCCTGATGAGAGCAGAAGGCAGGGCTGTCTGTTTCGAGAAGAAAATCTTTCAACCCTGTGCATCTTGGCTGTGCTCAAGACAGGATAGCACCCTGCCTCGGGCAGGCCCCTTTGCCACAGAGGTCGGGGCCGACCAGGAGGCTGTTGGGTGTTGCACTGAGGTCCTCCAAATAGCACTTCACGCTGCTTCCACCCCGGGCCGATTGTCCTTTCTTACCCCATGTGCATCAGGCAAGGGGGAGGTCTGCCGTTCATCCCCCCGCCCCGGGGGGGCCGGCTGAGGAAAAGGCAACGCCTCCTCCCCGTCGGGGAATCGAACCCCGGTCTCCCGCGTGACAGGCGGGGATACTCACCACTATACTAACGAGGAATGAAGTGACAGGTGACAAAGCCGGGAAAACAGGCTGTCCTCACCACGGCAGACCATCCCTGAAGGGTGAACCCTTGGCAGCGCCTCTCCTTTAACCCCCTCAGTCCCAACCACTTTCTCACACTGGACACCCTCCACCCCCAAGAAACGCTACCGGCTTATAACTAACCTTTGGCGCGTTTCAGGCCGGCAGGTGGCGGCGGCCCCGCCACCGGCGCAGGGTGGACAGGCAGCCTTCTGATCGCCAGAGTCAAGCTTCCCGTTGGGGGCTGCCGTGTTGATTTCCGTGTTACACTTCCTCCTGTAAAATACAATACATATTAATTTAAAAAAGGTCATTCAGTAAAAAGCCACCATCACGTCACCGAAAATGAAAGAAAAAAAACAGCAACAAAACAGCTGGCCCGTACGGGGATCGAACCCGCGACCTTGGCGTTATTAGCACCACGCTCTAACCAACTGAGCTAACCGGCCG